CGTATTGTAAAATCATATTATAATGCCCATAATTATCTATATATTTATATGTAATTAATATTATTGTAACCATATTTAGTACTACTCAAATGCCTTTTTTCATCCTTAACTGTCCCATGCCTTTTTCATATCAGGTTTCAGCATTGATTTGCCCTTTCATATTGCCACCTTCAGCAGATTTTAAAAAATGTTCAAATGTTTTTTTTTCATTCTTGGTTATGTTTATATCATCTTTATAACAGATTCCAACTTTAAATTGTCCATTCGAATCGCCACCACTTTAGCAGGTCTCAAATACTATTAAAATGCATGTTATTTTAATAGCAGATTTCAAATTTTAAATTTTTTTTTTTTAAGTATCTATGCTTTACTAGACTTTAAATACCATTCGTATGTCTTTTTTTCATCCTTTGCCGTGCTACGTTATTTTGATAGCAGCATTCAACAATAAATTGTCTTTCGAATTGCCATCTTTGGTAAATTGTCAGTATCACTCAAATGTCTCTATTTCATCTTTGGCTGTTCCTATACCTTCGTCATAGTTGACTCCGACTTTAAATTGTTCATATGAACTGCCGTTAGATAACTACTGATGGAAACCAATGCTCGATTGGTTGCTTATCATAGGATTTTAATTGACCTTTTGACCAGTCAAAATTAATAAAACATAAATTTTGACTGGTTATTATTTTTTGACCGTTCCAATCCTTAAATAGAAATTTATAATTACCTTCATAAAACGGTTTTAAAAAGTCACAAAGACTCTTGGCCTTTTTCCAGTCTATGTCGGAAGGCATAATTTGGTCAAAATTAGAATCGCGTAATGAAAGACGCTCAAATACGTTCTTATATGGAACAGTCGATTCTAGCATCAAATAGACGGAATTCCACCTGGTGGGAATGTCAAGAGTTGGTCGTCGACTAGATATAAGTTCAGGACTACATCCGACTATGGCATCCTCAAAGTTTTGTTGGCGAAGCTGTGAACTGCGAATCCATTTTGAACATTCTCGAACTTTACTTGTAATATTCTTAACCATTTTAAGGCCATCCCCAACTACGAGATTCAAAATATGAGCACAGCAACGTTGGTGTAAGAAAGTTCCATTTGCAATAAGCATGCTTTGTTCATCAAGCTTATATTTTATATTATTAATTGCAGCATCGTTACTGGTTGCATTGTCTACAGTAATTGCTAAAGTTTTTGATACAACACCCCAATCGCTAAAACATTTAAAAAGCATTTCACTAATAGCAATTCCGGTATGCGGTGCAGGAACTAGTTTGAACGCTATAACTAATTTTTGAAGCTTCCAATTATTGTCAATGAAATGGCATGTAACGGTCATATATCCGAGGGTTTGGTTTGACGTCCATAAATCCATTGTATAACTCAGGTTTCCCGGTGCTTCTTGAATTGCTATACGGGCCTTTAATTTAAGGTCTTCAACAACTTTTTGAGAATCTTCACGCACCATTTTCTTACTTATTATCCTAAATTGTGGCTGTAGATTGTTAATAAAGGTTAGAAATCCTTCGTGTTCAACTATACGGAACGGGTACGCATGCATAATAATCATATTAATCAAATCTTGACGGCTTCTTTCTTGGGAAAATTTATAGGTAGTAAGACCTGACGAAGAAAGCTGTAACGTTTGTTGTAATGGGTCATTTTTAAGATATTTACTGCATTGTGTATTTTTCATATGACGAATTAATGAACTAGTTCCCGTGCTGTTATCATGTTTTAGAACACTTTTACAATGTACGCATTTAGCAAAATTTTCTAATAAATTATATATTATAAATACAAACTGCTAAATAGAATTAATATTTATGACATTATGAAATATGGATGTTTACTATTTGTAGGATCACGCTTAAAATGGCCCTCTTTAAAAACCCACGATTCGGTTGTTTTACGTTTTTTATTACTACTAGTAGTAGCTTCCGAACTTTCATCGGCGGTAGTTCTTTCAACATTTTCATTAGTGATGGTTATTTCAGCATTTTCGTTGACGGTGGTTATTTCGATACTTTCATTAACGGCGATTTCGGCACTTTCATTAACGGCGATTATTTCGGCATTTTCATTAATAGTGGTTATTTTTGGGCTTTCATTTTCACTTTCGCTAACAGTAAAATTGACGCTTTCTAATTATTATAACAATCTCAAGTTTAATTTAGAATAAAAAAATTATGGTCTCTTTAGTGTATCGATTATCATACCGTAGTTCATTTTTTATTAATATTTTTCAACTTATTTAACAAGACCTTAAGGTGCAACCTAAGAAGGAACAAAAAATTAACTTTTGGAATTTTATCTCGACCTTTTTTTTAAAGGACACACATACGCTCTCTTTTACTCTACCATGTTGACTTCTATAACTCTAACAGTGTACTATTTATAAAACTTCTAATCATTATACGTATTGGCATTGTTACAAAAATGATGACATAATTACGACAATTTGAGCCTAATAGAATAACTATAAATAGAGTTATTCATTGCAAATTAAAGTAGATTCGCTTTCGCTCAATATAAAATAAATCGACCTCTTTACTTTTTATTGTTTACAACCTGTCCCTAAATTGGCGTGACCATCGCAAAGTCTCTCCCGTGTTGTTATACCATACATTATCTTGCATTAAACTTACACGCATTGGCTTATATAAAGTAAGTGCTACCACTGGTTTCGAATTGGTAGCAATTATAGGATTTTATGAATCTTATGAATATTGCATTTTACCATTGTTCTCACAATTGTATTCATAAAATTCTACGTATTATCATATTAATTCGAAAACAGCAATGATAAGACTATCTTACATGCCGTTATAAATTATAGTAATTCCAGCGATTGCATTATAGTAATTCCATATAACCTGACCGAAAGAGGTAACATATATTATTAAATCTTGTGATTTTTATTAAAAAGGGTTTAATATATCATGACGCAATCATCATGATAGTGAGTAATTCAAAAATATATCACCAAAGCTCTGGGTTATTGCTTTGGACATCCATTAAGCATTCAAGTGGAGCAATCAAAATTTTCTTCTGTGGTTTTTTTCTCACTGCAAGCTTCTGCTGCTGCGAAATGTTATTGGTTCAATTCCGGATTTATCCATAATAATTGCCGCACACCCTGAACAATAATCAGGTAAAAAAGAATGATTGTTTATTAAAATAGAAATTGGATAAAGACAATAATCCTAATATTCAAGAATTCATTTCCAAGAACTTATTCAAACGATTTACATACCGGTAATATTCTGCAAGATAACGCACTGTAGAACTTGGACTTTCAAATATATATACGTAGCATTGAATGCAGAAAGAAGTATATACATAACTGATAAGCAAATATGCATTTAAATACGTACGTATAATAAACTACCGTCAATAAAAAGTTAGTGCATTTCTTATAACTTTTTTTATATAATGATGATAATATTTGTAATTATTTAGATGCAAGCACTATTTGCACTGTAATGCCTCCAACTATACCAAGAACGGAGCGATGAAAACACGAAGTGTATGGCTTAGTGAAGAAAGAAATTAGGTACGTACGTACGTTCGCAAAATCTAATATCCGATTGGTCAGCGTGATCGTAGTTGTCGCATCCTGTATATTATTTACCACTATTAAAATCATTACTCATCTCCATCAAAGCCACGAATCTGCCCTGCTAAAACGAACACCTACAGCTGAAGTCGCTGCTAAGTCACGAATTTACACTACAAAATCTCGAATCCATTCGTTATTAAAATCGTTATCATCATTCGAATCGTAAACACTTATTAACTTACTATTGTTTAAACTACTAATTTACCCACCGCTAAAATTGACCCTTCAGTAAAATCACCAACGCTTGTTAAGATTACTGTTATTATTAGTCACCCATCACTGTAAATCACCTATCCACTTTTAAAATCATTAAATCACAAAACATACAAACTGACAAATATATCTTCACAGTGTCAAAATATTAGTACGTATAGATTGTCCGTTGTTCATAAGAACATGTTCATTTACTAAGTTATGACTATCGACAAAATAATTCATGAAATTAGTCTACACGTACTATAGCCATGACCAAAATTTTAAATCATTGACTAAATTTCCTTTTTTATTATAATCTTTATTGATATATATTACAATTAAACATATTTTATTAATTCAAATAAAGCTTCCCGTTCCTGGTTTTAGCGCGACTACATCGTGCAACTATCTAATTATATCAGATGCGTGCAATTACTTTCAAAAATATTTATAAATTTTACTAGAATGGGCGAAGTAGCATAACGACATTTAATCTAATTAGATGATCTTGTAAAAATAATATTTTTGTTAGCCAATCAAAATTTTCAAAGCAATCTAGTGATCTACAAAAATTGACCAATCAAAATAAAAACAATTATTCTGGGCCGGGCCGGGCCGGGCCTAATTTTAAGTTAAAGCCCGGCCCGGCCCGTTACTCTGGGCTTTTTTTTTTCTGGGCCGGGCTTGGGCCTAAAAAATTTTGTCGGGCCTGAGTATGGGCCTGGCAAAGCCCGGCCCGGCCCGGCCC